ACAAACCCAGCCTGATGAATTGCGTGATGTGATTGTGTAAACTTCTCTCTTTGTCATACGACCTGTTTCGCGGGTTCTACAAGTTGGAACCAAAATTAGTTAATGTACCGAATTATAATCGAAAGTTATTGAAATGGACTGATGAATTTTACATTTTAATGACAATTTAATCTTTTAAAATGTTTACTTGATTCATGGAAAGCAAAGATTGGAGTGGCTTTGGGTATTTCAGCCCTGATTTAGAAAAAATAAAACAGTTATTGGTATGTTCTAAACATCAGAACACCTAAGAGGACACTGGAAATGTAATAAAAGTATTTTTTAGCATCCAGAGCAAAAAGAAGAATGTGAGGCAGTGGAAGGAGACTGAGTTTTCAACGCCATTTGTCGTAAAAGCTGCCACCAGCTTGTTATTGAACTCACTAAAATTTACCTGGAAGGCATTAACTTTCTTTTGTCGCGAAACTCGTGGATTTTAAAACTTTGAAATGACGTAGGATGAATCCTGAAACTGGAGTTTGAGTCTATTGGCAAACTATGCCAGCTTGTCTCATGAGCAGATCAAGCGCTGACGAGATTTGACAGTTTTGAAATTTTAAGCGGATGCAAAAATCGAGACAAAAAATTCGTCACGACACAATTTGTCCTTTAATTTTGTCAAGAGAATTCTGGTTTTTTCTTCTATTGCAGACAGCCCAGATAGGCACTTACGAATCCATTTCTGGTTAAATAATAGCCCTCACTCTCGAGAAATTGCAACTATATTACCCATGTGATCCGACTACAACTTTAATTCCGAAAACTTTGAAAATATCTCCAGTCAGTCTGGCTTTCTTTCATTGCCTTACATTTTCCCTTGTGCTGTGGCTGTTAACAAGTACTTTCACCGCATTTCCAATGTTTCTTAAAGTGTTCGGATGTTTAGAACATACCAATAACTGTTATATTTTTTTTCCATAACGTGGTCAAAATGACCGGAACGAAACAAAATTAACTCGTCATCGAGGAGTTCGCTGGATAGCTGGTAGTACTTCAAATGACTCGATACGTCGTCCCGGGTGATTTGGACCCCCCCAACAGAACTGAGTGAAAACATCATCCTTAACGTTCTCGTAGAAATTGATAATACTTTACGTTGACGTTTCCCCAAGTGTTGGGACAACATGGTACAGTGCGAGTTTGTTATTTCAGATCCCTCAACAGTAAATAATCGTTAAAATTCAGAAATATGATTGAGATCGATGAAATAGTCTCCACTTTTATTAAGACGTAGACATTAATGTTGATTTGCATTTCAAAATGGAAACAAATCTGCGGAAAGGAGGGCTGGATCATTGGGGTCCGTGAACTAAATCTCGGGAGAAACTGCACGACTTATTTCAGAGTGTATGCGCGTTGTTTTGTAAATCTAAACACTGTAACCTATTTTAACTTGTTTTTGTGTCCTTTTAAGCAACGACCAGAGTGCCAAATGTTATTCTTTAATTTTGATCTTCTCCACACTATGCGTAGTTCATGACCAAATATTTCATATATATATATATGTAAATTATCGAGAAGGCGCCTTCCGATCACCTTTATCTTCTTTGTAAGTCACGCAGGCGCGCAAGCGTTACGACCGATCACGTTTACGCAACGTTTTAGGACAACTCGGTATCTAATCTCCATTCAGTTGCTAAGAAAACCTGAAATCCTCAACCTAGAAGATATACGAACGAAGTTTGAACGGTCAAAAGGAGACCTTGTGTCCTTTCAAGCAACGCGATATGTCTGCTATGACCAGAGTGCCAAATTTTGTTCTTTAATTTTGATCTTCTCCACACTGTGCGTAGTTCATGACCAAATATTTCAACGTAAATTATCGAGAAGGCGCCTTCCGATCACCTTTTGTCTACTTTGTAAGTCACGCAGGCGCGCAAGCGTTACGACCGATCACGTTTACGCAACGTTTTAGGACAACTCGGCATCTTATTTCCATTCAAACCTAAAATCCTCAACCTAGAAGATAAACGAACGAAGTTTGAACGGTCAAAAGGAGATCTTGGTCAATTTTCAGAATCATGCAAATGATCTTTGACACCAGCGCTATTGAGCAAACACGTGAATTTCAGTTGTTTTTAGGAGTGGATGGAAGCTAGAGATAGACCCGCGGTTTGAGGACATCCGTGACCTCATTGGTATATGGAATATGCACTGATATGCTTTTTCAGCCCGATTAACGCCTGCATTTTGAGAATTCTTTCATACAAAGTAGTGAATTTTTGATATGCAAGTTAAGGTCGTCGAAGAGAAGGGTCTCCTCTGATCACACTGGAATGAAAAATATTTCAGCTGAAGTTTCCAGATTTTGTCTGCGAACTAACTGAATACACCTTTTAACTTGTAGTAAGATAGAATTCCGTTAGATTCATTGTTGTAGTCGCTGCGCGCTGGACAAAATCTTTGAAACTTACCCCTTCGATGGCTGTCCACAGGGGTGGTCTGGCCAAGAATCATTTCTGACTTGTGGCGACACAAAAAAAGAGAATTAGAGAACAGCTAATCCATTTTTGAAACATGTGCCCTAAACCCTTTTCACGGGCAAAAATAAAAGAAAACATTTTTCCGACGGGAAGTCGAGAGGACCGCTTTTAGCGAGAGCAGCACTTAATAATATTATTATTTTCTCTTGGTAACAACTATGCGTGTGTTTTAAATTGTTTAATAACATCCTTCGCTGATGTTCAATTGCTAAAGTATTAATATCAATGTGGTTTTCTTCTCGAGCTTGAGCCAACTGATTTTCGTGTCTTTTGTTTATTTCAAGCATTAGACTAGCCTCATAATCGAGCTTTTCCTTAAAATCATGTTACTGAAATAGCAGTTATGGCAGCTTTAGCAATGATTTGACTTCTCAGTAGTGCTCTGACAAGATTCTCTCCTATCCCAATCATTTATTCCCTTTAGAAACTTTCTCAATGACTGCCTTGTCTGGAAAACTCGACAGTGCTCTCTGATGGAGAAAAGAAAAAGGGCACAGGAGCCTCCCATGAAAGCTTTCTGATCTTTCGTGGTTTTGGGCCACTCATTGGTTCTAGTGCTTCTTCGCAGCTTTCCTCCGACGACATATAATGTGACGCGTCTAGGGAAGACAGAATTTCTCGTGCCCTTTTCTTGTCTCCATCAGTTTGCTTTTCGGAAAAGCAAACTGAGGAATATGAAAGTGAAAGTGGATGACGCGTATGTGGCCGGACTAACTAAAAAGCAACGTCGCACAAGTGCACGTGTCAACCGGACTGAGGATGAATCACCACGTCCTCACCCAACTAACGGCCCTCGTTGGGCTGTCCGCAGGGACTAATTCAGTACATTTTCAGAACATTTGACATTTCATACATACCAGCTGTAAGTTTTTCTTGATGTTCATTTGTTAAGTAAGGAATTTCAGGCATGTTATGTTCAAATGACGAGGACGACAAGCGAATATATACGTACTTTTTAAACAATAAAAATTAATTGTCACCGGTCGATCGATTGAAGAAAAGAATAATAATAAAATAAATTGATTGGAGCTGTGAATAAAATATAGCTCTTGCATTTGTGTGGTTGTACATAGAGAAGCATAGATTTCGCAAACCGACGGTAAAAGTCTTGTATGGGTTGTATAAAACCGCACGATCACAACATATTTACCTGTACTGTAATGAAAAAGGATCAAGAATAACGAGTGCTGAAAGAGTTCGATATATAGTCGTCTGCAGAAACAAGAAAAAGATCTGTTTCCTAAAAGTAACCTATTATTTCCGTTGACATTCTGTCTGATTACGTCAACGGAAACAAGAAACGTAACGTAACCTTGTATTTCCGCACACATTAACATAAAGTTGCATCTGCGGAAAAATTTGTCTTCTTCAACTGAAACCTGACGGAAACATGTAAAAAAGTGGTACGGTTCCGCTGTGACCGCAGCGACGGAAACACGAGTAAACGTCACCAAACCGACCGCGGAAACGATATTTCGTCCTGTGCTAGGGGCTGTAACTTCATAAATTTTGTATTAGGTGCCAATGTCACCGAATGTTCTCGGTGCTATTCAGCATGCTTGTAACTTTTTGCATCACTCAGAGGCCAAAATTTTCTTACAAAAGTTACCCCTTTTGATCTTGATCTGTGGAGTACACAACATCCCTCTAGCAATCTCCAGCATTGCAACTAGAAGTCGCGAATACGCCAGCAAAACAGAATTGAACTCAGGGACGAGTTCATAGACACAACGGTAGACGAGATGGTCCACCCCGTTTTCCAGGCTGTGTAAGAAATTCCAAAAACAAAGAGTAAAATATACGCAGGAAAGTAACAAGTGATCATGAAGATAAACAAAAGGAACGTACTCAAAGCGCTTTGTTTTAATCGCATTTTTGCAGTGCCGTTTTGAGTGTGACTTTATGTAGCTTGTTCTTGAGAGCGGATCTGCAATCGATGACGTTGGACAATTTGATAAATTTGATCTAACAAAGCGTGGATATTACAAGACAAACACCTGTGAATATTGTGGAAAGTGGATAAAATACAACCTTAACTCATATGATAAATCAACTGGAGTCTATTTAGTATTCAAGTAACAGTACTGGAATAACACCGAACAAGTTGTGGGAAAAAAATAACAGTAAAAGTGGAAATAGCTGCGAAAACATTGACTTTGTATGGTGTCAATACGACTGGCTAAACGATATCTGATCATGTTTCGAAATCAGTAATAAATTGACTATTCCTGATTAACATTAACAAATCCACGAAGAAGAGCTCAATTCTTATTGAATTTTGATAAGCTCGAGTAAGTTTTCTACGGCTAAGTTTGCGTGCATCCATATCCGATACGCTTTAAATGCGTCGTAGAATAAGCTTTACAAAAACACCTAAATGATATCTATTCAGAAAACTAAACAACAGTATTATTAAAAGTTCTATCCTTTAACCTGTGCAGTGCGTTTTGTCTTAAAGGCGGTGAATATCAAAAGCCTTTAAACGCTTTTTTTACACAACATCTTTCTCAGTGTGTTCAAAACTGCAGTGCGTAGCTCTCGAATACGGCAACAATACAAAAATGGGTTTACAGATGAGTTCATGAATACCACAGTGGCTGAAAAGCTCCATTGCACTTTCCATTTCTGCTTGAATACTCCAGTCAATGTAATAAATACAAAAAATGGGAAATAGCACAGAATTAGAGCGATATAGAACAAGAAAGTGTTCACAGCACTTCTCTTCAAACGCATGATGTTATTTCCACTTCTGAAGCCTTCTACCATATTTTGCTGGATGTGAATTTGTCTCTGGTGTTTACGAACGATGCGGTATATGCCTACATACGAAAAGGTGGATACTATAAAACAGATTACGACGATAAATCCCACAAATAAGCGATGTAATCGCTTATTCCAAAAATAGAGTCCCATGCTTGGGAAACTAAACAGCCAAATGATTGCAGCGGTACATATGATGCGGGATTTGGTAACCACAGTAAAATAACGTAAATGATAATGAAGAGCGAGAAAGCGGTCCAGACTTATAGCTGTTATCGTCAAAAATGAAGCACCACAAACAGAATGGCCTATGCTTGCCTCGAGGAGAAGTAAAATGGATTTTCTCGATAGTTGCTGCCCGATGTAGAGTGGCTGTACAACCAGTCCAACGAGAAAGTCAGAAAACGCGAGGCTGCACACCATGATCATTGAAGAAGAAGAACGAATGGATGGGGTTTTTGTAATAGCAAGTATTACCAAAGCGTTTCCAAAAATGGATACGAGCATCAAAGGAACATTCAGAACACAGTTTATGTTTACCAGTAATGTTTCAGAATTACCAGGTTCTTCACTGAAGGAATCAGGATCTACCGATCCCTTGTTTTCTCCGCTGATGTTGCTCATCTTTAATCCACTATTTTAAACCTGTTTAAACAAAACAAAAGCCGTGTTTAATCTGAATTCTGTTTCAAGAGAAGCAGATTACTTAATAAGCATTGACAAAGTACCCCGTTGGGAAACAAGCAGCACCGAAAAAAGTAAATAAAAAATAAAAATTGAGAAACTTCTAAACCAAAGCCATTATTTTACGAAAATAAACATATGGAGGATTTAATTCAACAATCATTCGCTCATGCTGAGTGGAATAGCTGTTTTTATATAACTTCAAATAAGGTTTTTCCGACAGAAGACCAAATTGTCATCAAAAATTTAATTAGGGAGTGGAATCTTTTCACCTCGGAGTTAGCCAATCAAATTACACGAGAGGCTTTGTTCATTTCTATGGTATGGACTACACATCGTTGCTGACCCACCTTGCTAACCATTTTATCAGCTTGATATCAGTGAAAGAATAATGAGACTCTCCAATGAAGAGAAAGATAACTCCTTAAAAATGACAAATTTAACCTACAAACGATATTTTTGTGAATGATCATCATTATATCAAGAGAATATTAGGAAGCCATTGTGCAATATATGGAGAGGGGGAAATGGAGAAAATTTCTGAAAGCAATTTTTTTTTAAAATGAAACTCTTCAATTACAAAAGTTCTGGCGCCTTTGTTTATGTTAATACGGAAAACGCTCTGCATAAGCAGGTGCAGATGCTTATATTACCGATCTTGTGGTTAGTCATAAAGGAACGTTTTGTTTTGACTTTGGTTTTTATATAAGTTACTATTTTTGCATGTATTAAAAAAGTTACAACTGCGCAACTTTGAATGGCTTTTTGAGAATCTTAAGTCTTTGGGAACTTAGCGTTTTTTGAGTTGTCATCCCCTCCATGATACAGGAGGATTACTCGTTCCTCCCAAGACGTGGGACTGGCCGCGCGTTGACACAAATTTCATCGTCAAAATAACATCTCCCACTCGTTTTCTTCACCCACTCGTCGACTTCTCGACACCAAAATTTTATTCGGTATCAATAGGCGGAATTCTATTGTCCAGTTTTCTGAATAGATATCATTTAGGTGTTTTTGTAAAGCTTATTCTACGACGCATTTAAAGCGTATCGGATATGGGTGCACGCAAACTTAGCCGTAAAAAAGCTACTTCAAATTCTCCTCTCGTAATGAAAAATGTACTCCTGTCAGAGAGAAAGTTGCATTTTACTCTAGTTATCCAATAAAATAAAGAAGATTATGTTGAAAGTAAAATCGTCATTTCGTTAATCTCGATTACCGTGAAGATAAAAATGGTAAGCTCACTGCGCGGTGAAGATATCAAGCTTCTAAAACGAGATAGATTCTGGTATTCATTTATTCTGTATAATAAAATGATTGAATGAGTATGGAAGCGATCCTCGCAGTAATGAACACTACTTAAGCAAAGTGAAAATAAGACCTAAAAAAAATTCAGGCCAGCACGAGATCTCGTTGTATTCATTACTGCGAGGTTCGCTTCAATCTTCATTTCTATATATGTAGCTCACATATATGATTTTCATATATTTACAGTTATTTTAAATGATTCAATGCTTCTGAAGCCATCTCACAATATTAGACTAAAAGCTCTCAATCATAAAATCTACATTGCAATACTAAGCATGGAATTTAGAAAAGATCTTATACGGAGTTATCATAGAGAGGATGAAGTGAAATCATATATTAAAAAAGATATCCAAATAAACTCACGTAGTCTAAAATTCTCCTCAGCACAATGCTGAAATGATTTTCATATATTTACAGTCATTTAAAATTTTTAAATGATTCAAAGTTTCTGAAGCCATCTCAGAGTATTAGATCTTAATCATAAATCTACATTGTAATATGAAATTTAGAAAATATCTTATATGGAGTTATCGTAAAGAGGATGAAGTGAAATCATATGAAAAGATATCCAAATAAACTCACAAAGTCTAAAATTCTTCTTCTCAGGACAATGCTGAAATACGTTATCAGGAAAACTGTATCGAGTAAACACTTGTTATGACAAGATTAAACTTCAAATTTATGGCAGGTGCCCGTGTTTAAAACAAAAACAGTATATGCATTCAAGAAAATTAACAAAACAGTCCATAAAATTTGAAGGAGTCTTTTTTCATTTAACTTGACTGTAATGCCAGCGAGAAAATGCGGTGGCTATCGCCGTAGAAGTCAAATCATGTTAAGAATCAGAATTATGATTCCAATTTTACAATCTTTATTCTAAGCACCTGTTTAATTTATCGAGGTTGATAATTTGACCGGCTAACTTATCTTTCTTCTGTTTTAGCTGCGAGCAAATTTACGGCGAACAAAAAGATAAATATTACCTCCATTCCACTGTTTTAATCAGGGTAAAAGTGGCTTTCTCAAGTTGAGATACGTGATTCGTGATTCGTTTTGCTATATAGTTCAATGGCGCCGTTGCATCAGTAAAGCTTATATGTAATTACACAAAGACTTCTTCAGTACTTCTCTTTGTCTTTTGTCATTAGCTACTGGTAAGTTATTAATAATTCAACGATACTCCTTTACTATTGTGATCTGTCATGCAATATTCTGTCATGCTTCTTAGTCAAATATCAGATAACTTCCGACCGTATTTTGGTATATTCACAGAAATAAACTGTTTTTTCCTTCGGTCTCTGTGTAACATATGCTAAAAAGACAATTATTTACCTTAGTGTCGGTAAAAGTAAATATCCACCACTGCTCACCGATACTGAAGTGAAAAGTTATTGATTATAATATTAGAACATATATGACAACAACCGATTATTTGGTATATTGACAGTGATAAATTTAAAAATTATTGTGGTTTCTGTGCGATATATACTAACAAACGTTTTTAGCACTTTCACGTAAATGTTAACGAGGACTCTGAAAGATTTAATCCGAACAGAGGAAATAGAAACAAATTTAATTGAAGGAAAACAGTATGCAACAGTATGGATGGATTTTGAACCACTTTACACGGCTCGGTGTTTTGTCTTTCTACTTTGCTGCTTTTGTATGTCGGTCTAATAATGCTATTAAAGAATCTAAAGCTGCCCTCAAAGCGGAAAAAAAATTTTACCCAAAAAAAAATCAACAACTGACCTTTACTCAGCTGAAAAATCTTCGCAAAATATAACAAGCTACTTCCTAAGCTCGCAGCCAGAAATTTTCTATACGAATTGTCATATTACTATTGCAGTGGTAGACCAATTTTGAACACAAAGTTCTCCGTCCAAATTTAAGTATTCTTTAGTAGAACTAAGTCGACTAAGGTGTGTGTGTGTGTGTGTGTGGGGGGGGGGAGGGGAGGGGGGGCTCATGTATTTCAAAATAATTAGGTTTTAACAACTGAGTTCACAATATAAATTGGCCAACGTTCATATTTTCTCAGGCTGACGTTTGAAACTTTGCCCCCTCGTTACAACAAATAGAGGAATTGTGGGTTGTGCGAAGCCAGGTTTATGTTAAAAAAAAAAAAAAAAGATGGACCTACACTATTAGGGGAAACATGGTAACGTGAAAAACGCAAGTGGATTAGTCATGATCACTACAGATTGAAATTCTATTAGGAACGCAGCTGGAACCTCTTTTCCTTACACTTGAAAAAAGTAAATTAAAAAAGAACAATAACAACGGTTTCCTTTATTTATTTTATTAGGAGTCTTTAAAATCCAATAATCTCTTCACGCCCAGAATTGGACCCCTTAGATATACAAAATAATATAAGTTCACTATTGGTTGTTTAATCAACGGCGGAAGGGTGCTAAAAGCCGGTAATGAAATAGTCCAAATGCACCCCTTATGCAGGAAATTAAAACTGCGCTTTAAAAAACCAGAACAAATTCACTGTTTAACTTTTTTTTATTCTGGTGGTGATTAATGTCAATCCAAAAGATGAGTGATTATCAGTAACGTAAGGGCGCATTTAAAATGTTTTTTAATTACCTGATTTAAGAAAAAGGAAAGTCAACGCGATGAAATTATTATAGTTTTTCTATGCCTCAGTCACGGTTTAAATTTATGACTTGTGGACGTCAAAAGGCATTTAACAACAAGAAGTGAGATCGACCACCAAGCCTTAGGACATGTCCCTATGACAAGTAACATCAGCTAAGAATCAGAAAATGAGTAAGGAATTGCGATTCCTATAACTGAATCGGATCAATGGTTATTTGAATAGAAAGAAAAATGAACAACAGCATTTTGAAAAACGATTTATTGAGAAATTATCCAGAAAGAGACGCTAAAAATTTCACTGTTTTGGTCGTAAACTGTTCTATTACTGCCATCATGATCCTGATATCCATTACTGGTAATTCGTTGATAGTATTAAGTATATTGAAGAACCATTCTCTCCATTCACCGTCCATGATTTTAATCTTTGGTTTGGCATTATCGGACCTTCTTCTTGGACTCGTTGCTCAACCTCTTTACATCGCAAAAGAATTGTCAGACTATCTTTCACTTCAGAGTGCATGTTACTTTTTCCTCTACAATTGCTGTGGGGTTTCTCTCTGGACAATGACAGCCATTAGCTTGGATCGACTCGCTGCTCTCCACCTTCACATGAAATATACCTCTTTGGTAACGTCAACTCGCGTTACCCAAGTTTTAGGGACAATATGGATCGTTATTCACCTCTCATTTTGTATCTACTTTTGGAATGAACGTGCGTACTTTTTCCTTGCAGGCTGTTTCGTGTTGATCTGTTTGACGCTGGCATCTTTCTCCTACACCCGCATTTTTCAAATTGTTTATCGACATCAGAGACAAATTCACAACCAGCACCAATCAGTGCAAAGAGTTGGCGCCTCCTCTATTCTAACTTGGAAGCGATTCAAGAAAAGCGTAGTGAACACTTTCACATTTTACCTGTTTTTATTATTATTTCACATTCCATCATTTCTCATCATGTTTCTTTTCGCGATCTTCCAGAACTGGTCCGAAGTATGGAACATCTCTACAACAGTGATTTTCATGAGTTCTTCTACTAATCCAATCTTGCTCTGTTGGCGTCTTCGGGAACTTCGGGCAGCAGTTTTAAAGACGGCAAAAAGGCTGCTATGTTTACGAACAACGTAATTAAGAAGCGTGAGGAATATTTGAAAATATTTTGACACATCCACCTTGTAAGCACATTAGCTAAAATCCTGAAAACTGGGGAGTTCAAAAATTTTGGTAACTGATCTATTCAATTTTTTAAAATAAAGAAAGAGCAAATTCTACCCGGTCATGTATTTAAGGAATTTAATTGTTGACGGAACTATTAATTTCAATAAAATTCGTATGCCCGGTCTCAAAAAAAAAAAAAAAAAAAAGGAGAGAAAAACAATCCCAATCCAGCGTGCAGAAATATAAAGAATCCCACTATTTTCTCTCTTGGAAGTGATAATCCTTAACGGTTTAACAATCAGATGATAAGCTCGAGATATCTATTGCGTTATAGTTGATGAAGGCGTCGCCCGAATCAACTATAACATACGGAAATCACAAGAGAATAATCGAACTGTTAAACCTTCAAAGACAAAATAGTTTTTTTTTTTTAATTTTTGATTTCATTTTTTTATTCAAACTTAATTATTCTTGGCAATAAAGCAACCACTGCTTACAAAATTAACATTACGCACTGTATTCACAACAGGGGTGCGAGCATTTCACAGTTCTAACGTTCTGCAGAAATAACTTATTTGAACGTGTAAGGAATTGAAATACGTACCAGAATCATGCACATGCTGGGCTCCCTGTTGCTTACAAGCCCCCACATCATGACTTTCTTTTCTTATTATCATCATTGTAATAATCTTATCATCCGATTGCAATTCAACATTTTTTTATTCATTAAAATTTGTCTTAGAATAGAAGAGAAATGATCAACGTAGAGAAATGAATCATTTTTAGAAATTAAGATGAGTTTATTGAAGGGTTTTAAACAAATTATGCAATTTCAGTTATTTTTAATTCCGAAGAATACGAAGCTCAACAAAGCATAGTTATTGCAACATGGTATTGTATATTGAATAAATATAATATTTTACAAACTGTATAGAGCAATAATCGCCATCCATCATAGTACAATTGTCCAGTTGCTGTCGTAACATAATGGCATGACATAGGAATATGAATATAAGAATTTTTATGTGACCTTAGAAGTATTTAGTGTGAGATCGGCATTTAAAACTGTCTTTGTTGTTCTTGTTGCTATTTTTTATGTATTTTTGAGTCTTTTTTTTATTTTAAATGGTGAAAAGAATGAGTAGGGTCATAGCCCTTTAATACGTGCTGTTTTTAATATAATTAAATTTCACTACTTTCCAATTCATCCCCTTGGTCCTAGGAGGTCATGTTAAAAATTTCCTCCAAAGACAAAAACATGTAAGCAAACAAGAACAAACATATTATATCCATTGTCGAGCTATACTGCTAATTATACTGATTATTTCTACTTGATGGCAGATTTAACACACAAAATACTACTCAGTGATTGCCTCAATACTGACAAAACACTAACAAATGGCCAATACTGTCTCGCTCTTCTTGGCTGGTTCGCCTCTGGCTCTTAAAGAGCTGACAAAGGCGTTAACGTTCCTTTACAACTTTCTCTGTTACGTTTGAAAAACAAAAATGAGTTTTCTTTCTTCACTCGCGATTTTTAGGCTTCTTGTTTATTCCATATGATTTAATTAGCAAGATTTCACTGAACCCCTAGCGTGTGTCACATGGTTGCTGGGAAACACGACGGAGTTTTCAAAATTGTTACATGGCATGAATACAGACTGTACTTCGATTTCTGATTACCTGGAGTAGGAAGATGTCCAACAGCCCAATTTCAGGTTCGACAGTTATATTTGTTAGTGTTTATGCTAAATTTATTATTTGATTTAGCCGCTGATAAGACGATTGAGAAAAATGTTTAAAAAGTTCACTTGCAAAAAATCTTTCTTGCAGCTCTTAAAACAGCTCTTCGAAGATCTTTTAAAACACAGCAGTACAAGATTGGATTGATGGCAGAGTTCATAAAAGCCCCAGTGGTCGCATACATTAAGCTACCTGACCATTCCTGATTCTGCAACAAGACATCGACAAGCAGTAATGGAAAAAATGGCGAATAACACAATATCAAAAACATGTAAAATATGAAAGTGTTTGTGGTGGATCTCTTAAGACGAGCTATGTTCAAGTTACTACCAATATTTGGACCTTGAATCGCTTGGTTCTGCGCTTGAATCTGCCTCTGGTGTCGCTTAACAATTTGATAAATTCTAACGTAAGAGAATGTCGATAAAAGGAGACAGCTGATGATGAAACAGGCAGCAACGAGAAAAAATACTTCTCGTTTCCAAAAGTAGATACCAAATTCCACATATATGACAAACCACATTGTAGCTAGCGTGCAGATAACCCTTTTGGAAGTCACCATGGTAGCATATCTCATGTGGTACTGAAGAGCTGCGTATCGATCCAAACTTATGAGTGTCATCGTTAATAGGGAAACTCCACAGCCGTTGAAGGAGAAAAAGAACACCACATGAAATAGAGTGTCATTTGGTATCAGCTCTTGAATGATAAAGAGAGGTTGCGCTATAAGTCCAACAATTACATCTGATGCAGCCAGACCACAAAGTAGAGTTGTTGACGGCGAACGTAAAGAGGGTGTCCTAGAAACAGAAAATATGACCAACAGATTTCCGGTAATGGATAGTAACATGAAAGTTACGTTAATTCCGATGATCGCAGGCTTGGAATAGTCATATTCCCAAGAGCGTGAAAATGATCGAGTCATTTCGTTTGTTGGAAAGGTTCCGTTCGTTGTTCTGCGATTTTTGGTTTACAGAAGGAACAAATTTAGATGAAGTGCTGGATTAAGAATCGGGCTGGAATTATTGTCGGAGTTCACTGGACAGCTGTTTCGTAAAGTTTCGTGCTCATTATGTTACTATTGCTTACATTTAGTACAAAACTCAGATTCTTAAAAAAAAGAAAGTTACAGAGACCAACTTTCTGTTTTTCAGACTTAGACATTTGAATAACTTTCTGGGGGAGATACAAGTATTTTTTTGTCAAAGGAAAGAACCCCAATATCTCCAAAAGTTCAATCAAAGTAAATCTTTTGTTAAGGATTTTCAAACGTAGCTGGAAGCTCAAAGAACTTTCAATCTTAACAACATCAATTAATTCAAATTTTTGTGCGCAGATTTTCAGAGAGGACTCCCAAAGTCAAACCCTGTTGTTTTTTTACAACATCAATTATAACCAATCTATTGTCACGGAATTTTCAAACAGAGCTCCTCAACTCAAAGAACCTTTCTCTTGTTATTTGCCAATCGCTTGTTGTTTTTTTAAATTTCTTTTCCCATAGCAAACAAAACAAATTATTTTCCACGAAAATTATTTCTCTATACTCGGACAAAGCAGACATGATTTTGCACCATCGCGCTATTATGAAAACTTAATTGCGATCAATCCAATTGGATTGCGACTTTTGTTATATGAGGCAATGGATCCAAGTGATTGCCATGTAAACAAATGTTAATTGGATGTCAGTACTTTGGAAAAACAAAAAAATTAATTTGTCAACTTTCTCCTGTCGTGGTGGTACCGAAATTTAAAGCTTTTGAAGTAAACGCTTGTAATTTTCTACTTTTGTTAATATTTGAGTTTCGATTTCGTCTGTGACTCTTTTGAACTGGGTTGATTCTCAAGCCTCAAAAGTGAAGAGGATCATTTTCTCAGAACGTTAATGACGAAAATCTATTTTTAAAAAATTTAAGTCCTAATAAAATGAAAATGCTTGCATAACCTTTTAAAGACAACCCACAGCCAAGGCAGATGTGAGATGAATGTCATGTCTCGCCTTGATTTGCATGACAGCTAAAGAAAAAATGCAACTGAAAGCCCAGATCTTTAAGCCAATATTGTCTCGCTCTTCTTGGCTGGTTCGCTTCTGGCTCTTAAAGAGCCTTAAAAGGGGTTAACGTTCCTTTAAAAATTTCTCTATTGCGTTTGAAAAACAAAAATAAGTTTTCTTTCTTCACCCGCGATTTTAAAGTTACTTATTTATTCTTTATGATTTAATTAGCAAAATTTCATTCAACCCCTGGCGTGTGTCACATATTTCTGGGCAACGCGACCGAGTTTTCAAAATTGTTACGTGGCATGAATTCTTCGATTTCTGATTACCTGGAGTAGGAAGAGGTCCAACAGCCCAAATTCACCTTCGACAGTAATATTTGTTCGTGTTAATGCTAAATTTATTATTGAAGCTCAGTAAGATTAATTTGGCCGCTGGTAAAACATTTATTTTTCACAAATTACGATGAGACATGATGTCACAACAGTTTGATAAATTATTTAATAGTTTTTCGTATTTAATAATCAGTATTCTCCAATCCTCCTAAAAGGCTTGTTCTCTACAAACAAAAATTTAAAAATATTTCAAATGAAACCGAAATTGTAAATAGAATCAGCAATTGATCAAAAAAGAAGGAAAACTTTGAAATATCGTTCTCCGGTGAAGCCTTCTGAAATGCAAGACACGTCTTTAACACTTCCAGAGGATCGTCAATCCAAAAGATGAGTGATTATCAGTAAGGTAAGGGCGCATTCAAAATATTTAAAACGTTTTTTAATTACCTGACTGAAGAAAAAGGGGAATATAAGTGATAAATATGTTACAGTTTTTCTATGCCTCAGTGACGGTTTAAATTAATGACTTGTAGAAGGCTGCTTTGTTTACGAACAACGTAATTAAGAAGCGTGAGGAACATTTGAAAAATATGTTAACACATCCACTTTGTGAGTACAGCAGCTAAAATCCTAAAAAAAAAAGAGGTGTTCCATTTTTCAAAATAAAGAAAGAGAAAATTCTTCCCAGCCATGTTTTTAAGGAATCCAATTGTTGACGGAGTTATTAGACTTTCGATAAAATTCGTATTTCCAGCCTTCAAATAAAAAAAGGGAAAAACAATCCCAATCCAGCGTGCAGAAATATAAAGAATCCTCCTATTTTCTCTCTTGGAAGTACTTATCTTTAACGATTTAACAATCGGATAATAAGCTCGAGATTTCTATCGCGTTGTAGCTGATGAAGGCGTCGCCCGAATCAAGTATCACAGACAGAAATCATAAGAGAATAATCGATATGTTGTAGTATTAATATACTCCGTCAAACCTTCAAAGACACAATAGTTTTTTTATTATTTTTGTTTTTATTCTTTATTTCATTTTTTCTGTTTCAACTTATTCGTGGCAATAAACCAACCAGTGCGAACAAAAATAACATTACGCACTGTATTTAAAAGTAGCGATGTAACCTTTTTGCATTTCTAACGTTCTACAGAAATAACTTATTTGAACGTGTAAGGAATTGAAATACCTACCAGACTCATGCAACTGCTGAGTTCCCTGTTGCTTACAAGCCCCCACATCATGACTTTCTTTTCTTATTATCATCATTGTAATAATCTTATCATCCGATTCCAATTCGACAGTTTGATATTCATTAAAATTTGTCATAGAATAGGAGAGAAATGATCAACGTAGAGAAATAAATTATTTTTAGAGATTAAAGTGAGTTTATCAAAGGGTTTTAAACATAGCATGCAATTTCAGTTATTTTTAATTCCGAAGAATATGAAGCTCAACAAAGCATAGTTATTACAACATGGTATTGTATATCGAGTAAATATAATATTTTACAGACTGTATAGAGCAATAATAGCCATCCATCATAGTACCATTGTCTAGTTGCTGTCGTAACATAAGGGCATGACATAAGAACATGAACCTTAAAATTTTTAAAGTATTTAATGCTAGATCGCCTTTTAAAACCGTCTTCCCCCTTTGTTGCTATTGTTTATGTATTTTTTTTTAAGTCTCTTTTTTTTTCTTTTAAAAGGTATAAAGAATGAGTAGGGTCGCGGCCCTTAAATACGTATTGTTTTTAATATAACTACATCTCACTTCTTTTTAATTTATCCCTTTGGTCCTAAGAGGTTATGTTAAATTTCCTCCAAAGAGAAAAACATCTAAGCAAACAAGAACAAACAAATTATATCCATTGTAGAACTTTAAAGCAATCACTGAGATGAGCTCTACTGCTACAATTATTTCTACCGCTAATCATACTAATTATTTCTACTTGATGGCAGATTTAGCACAGAAAATGATACTTCTGACTTTCTGCCAAAAATGAATACACCCGCATTTTTCAAATTGTTTATCGACATCAGAGACAAATTCACAACCAGCACCAATCAGTGCAAAGAGCTGGCGCCTCCTCTATCCTAACTTGGAAGCGATTCAAGAAAAGCGTAGTGAACACTTTTATATTTTACCTGTTTTTACTATTATTTCACATTCCATCATTTCTCATCGTGTTTCTTTTCGCGATCTTCCAGAACTGGTCCGAAGTATGGAACATCTCTACAACAGTGATTTTCATGAGTTCTTCTACTAATCCAATCTTGCTCTGTTGGCGTCTTCGGGAACTTCGAGCAGCAGTTTTAAAGACGGCAAAAAGGCTGCTATGTTTACGAACAACGTAATTAAGAAGCGTGAGGAATATTTGAAAATATTTTGACACATCCACCTTGTAAGCACACTAGCTAAAATCCTGAAAACTGGGGAGTTCAAAAATTTTGGTAACTGATCTATTCAATTTTTTAAAATAAAGAAAGAGCAAATTCTTGCCGGTCATGTATTTAAGGAATTTAATTGTTGACGGAACTATTAATTTCAATAAAATTCGTATGCCCGGTCTCAAAGAAAAAAAGAAAAGAAAAACAATCCCAATCCAGCGTGCAGAAATATAAAGAATCCCACTATTTTCTCTCTTGGAAGTAATAATCCTTAACGGTTTAGCAATCAGATTATAAGCTCGAGATATCTATTGCGTTATAGTTGATGAAGGCGTCGCCCGAATCAACTATAACATACGGAAATCACAAGAGAATAATCGAAATGTTAAACCTTCAAAGACAAAAGAGTTTTTTTTTTTTAATTTTTTACTTCATTTTTTTATTTAAACTTAATTGTTCTTGGCAATAAAGCAACCACTGCTTAAAAAATTAACATTACGCACTGTATTTACAACAGGGGTGCGAGCATTTTACAGTTCTAACGTTCTACAGAAATAACTTATTTCAACGTGTAAGGAATTGAAATACGTACCAGAATCATGCAAATGCTGGGTACCCTGTTGCTTACAAGCCCCCACATCATGACTTTCTTTTCTTATTATCATCATTGTAATAATCTTATCATCCGATTCCAATTCATCATTTTGTTATTCATTAAAATCTGTCTTAGAATAGAAGAGAAATGATCAACGTAGAGAAATGAATCGTTTTTAGAAATTAAAATGAGTTTATTGAAGGGTTTTAAACAAAGTATGCAATTTCAGTTATTTTTAATTCCGAAGAATATGAAGCTCAACAAAGCATAGTTCTTACAACATGGTATTGTATATTGAATAAATATAATATTTTACAAACTGTATAGAGCAATAATCGCCATCCATCATAGTACTATTGTCCAGTTGCTCTCGTAACATAAGGGCATGACATAGGAATATGAACATAAGAATTTTTATGTGACCTTAGAAGTATTTAGTGTTAGATCGGCTTTTAAAACTTTCTTTGTTGTTGTTGTTGCTATTTTTTATGTATTTTTGAGTCTTTTTTATTTTAAATGGTGTAAAGAATGAGT